AAAATAAGCCCAAAATGTATATGTTGCAATCTCCATTCAGTCTGCATTTGTCAGACAATGTTGCAGACAACTGGAAAAAAATTAGATAGAGATTTGAATTGTATTTGGCAGCCATAGGGGCAGAGGAGAAAAATGAAATCATCAGTCTTTTTGCATGTTGTTGGGGAGGAAGCACTGGATATTTATAACAACTTTAAGTTTGAAGAAGGTGAAAGCATGAAGTTAAGTAAAATACTGACTAAATTTGAGGAACATTGCATGAGAAAAAGGAATGAAACCTTTGAAAGACAAATTTTTACATGCATGAAAAAAACCGATAACACCATAGAACAATATGTCACAGAATTAAAGGAACTCAGTAAAACCTGTGACTTTGGTGAGCTGACAGTCTCTGGTTTGTGGCATTAAAGACAATGTGTTAAGAGAGAGACTGTTCCGTGAAGGAGACTTAACTTTAGAAAAAGCTCTTCAAATATGTAGGGCAGCAGAAACTGTGAAAGCACAAGCCAAAGAGCTGAATCCACCAGATGGTGTTATCCATCTACTAAATGCAAAAGAATATAGCCAGATTAGGTCAAATCGAAGAGTGGAATCAATCGCTATGAAAACCACTATTTGGGGAAAGACTGGGTACAGACAGTCATATGGAAGGTGTGGATTACAGCATGGCCTCAAACAGTGTGATGCCTTTGGGAAACTCTGTTACCAATATGGGAAAAATAATCATTTTGTAAAATGCTGCAGATCCCAAGTGCAGAAAAATCAAGTGTATTCACTTAAAGACAATCTGATTGAGGAGTTTTCCATAGACCTGAGATCTAGCAAGCCTGATGACAGGGACTGGATGCTACCTATGACAGTGAATGGAACAATTATTTCACTGAAAGTGGACAGAGGAACTCAGGTTAATATTCTGTCTGAACAAGATTATGAGAGATTGAAAATATGACCAGAAGTGGGAGCAAAAAATGAAAGTAACTGGTTATTTTGGGATAAGTATACCTATGAAGGTATATTGCTAGCATCAACCATAAAAACACCATGTACAGTCTCCCATTCATTGTAGTGCCAAAGGAGGTGACACCAATTTTAAGCCTGGCTGCATGTGAAAAACTCAATCTGATAAAACACGTGCTCTCATTACAGGATCATACTGAACCTGGCTATGAGGCACTCTTTCAGGAATATCATGACCTATTTCAAGTGATTGGTTGCTTGCAGGGTGAACATATAATCTGGATAAACAAGCAGGTCCCTCCAGTTATCCATCCATGTAGAAAGGTGCCATTTGCACTCAGTGATAAACTCAAGACTGAGCTTGCAAAGATGGAAGCAATGCAAATACAAAAAAATCAGGAGCCAACAAAATGGGTAGGCTCCCTTGTCATTGTGGAGAAAAGTAATGGCCAGCTATGCATATACTTAGATACTAGAGACCTCAACAAGACTGTAAAAAAAGAACATTTCAAACTATCAACCAGAGAAGAGATTATGGGTCAGTTTGCATCTGCTCAAGATTTCAGTAAATTGGATGCATCCTTGAGGTTTTGACAGCTAAAATTAACTGAAGAAAGCTCAAAGTTGTGCACATTTAATACCCTATCTGGAAGATATACATTCTTACACTTACCCTTCATAGGTTCATCACGAGACGTGTATCACAAACTATACCTATTATCTATGAACATATTAATGGTTTTGACACCTCAGTGGATCACTCCATCATCTGGGGCTCAATGAAAGAGGAGAATGATTGTAGACTTCAGGAAGTCCTGGATGCAACTAGAGCTGCAAACTTCAAACTAAATAGGGAGAAATGTTTTTTAGGGGTTACAAAACTGACTTTTGTTGGGGACATTACTTCCAACAAAGGTGTAAACCTGATAAGAAGAAGATTTGAAATGATGCCACATCACCATCAAAGAAAGATGTTCAATGGTTCCTGGGAATGGTTAATTATCTTAGATTAGTATGAATTTTCCATCTACCAAAACAGCATTTTTCAGAACTCCTAGAGAATAAAAATGAATGGTGTTGGGGTGCAGAACAGAAGGAATCATGAGAAGGTTTAAAACAACAACTGATGTAAGAACTAGTATTAAAGTTCTATGTACCAAAAAGGCCTTTTAAAGTTTCAGCAAATACTTTACAGTCTGGGTTAGGTGCAGTGATTTTACAGAGAATTGTTGGCAAGCACTTGCATATGCATCCAAATCACTGACTGAGGCAGAAACCAGATACACACAGCTTGAGAAGAAGCTTTTAAGAATATTGCTTGCTTGTGAGAGATTCAATCAGTATATTTATGGACAGATAGTGGAAGTTGAAATGGATCACAAGCCCCTGATAACGTTATTTAGCAAACCACTAAATGACTACACCTTAAGAATTCAAAAAATGATGATAAAGTTGCAAAAATATGATTTGGTTGTGTCCTACATACCGGTAAATTCATGTTCACTGCTGATACACTTTCCAGAGCAGTGGCTTCCACGAAACCAGAGAAGACTTTAGAGACAGGGATGCAAGCCTATGCAGATCTGATTGTAAAGTCAATTCCCATAGCTAACAGGAAACTGCAACAAATAAGAGAGGAAATGGAGAAAGATGAAGCATTGGAAATCGTTAAAGAAGTGGTAATTAAAGGGTGGCCTGAAGAAATAAGCAGTTGCTATCCAAGTATAAGAGCTATTCGAACTGCAGACATGAACTTACTGTGATAGATGGGGTGATTTTCGAGTAAGGTTGTAATTCCAATGAGCCTCTAAAAAGAAATGCTACAGAAGATCCACAAGGGTCCTTTAGAAATTGAGAAGTGCAAACAATGAACACGAGAGGTGCTCATTGTCTGCGGATAAAAACTGTTTTTCATGCTTGAAATACAAGCCATACCAATAGGCAGAGCCACTGAGACCTTATCCAGTTCCACAAAGGCCTTATGAGAAGGTAAGCACTGACATTTACCTGGCAATCAAAGGATTATATAATAGTCACAGACTGCTCTTCTATGTATCCAGAAATTTTCACACTGCACTGTACTAATAGTAAATCAGTGATAGCTGGCATGAAGGAAATCTTCTCCAATCATGGAATTCCAGATGAAGTCTTTAGTGATAATGAACTGCAATTTTTCAGTGCAGATTTTAGGCAATTTTCCATAGATTGGGATTTTCATCACAAAACATCAAGTCCAAATTACCTCCAATCAAATGGATTTGTGGAAAGGTCTATTTAGACAGTAAAGAACCTTATGAAAAAGACTTTTGTCAGTGGGGGTGATTTGTATAAACCTTTATTGTTTACCTAAGTACACCTCTGGAGAGTGGCTTTTCTGCAGCTCAGCTGGTAATTGGAAGAAGGGTCCGATCTAATTTACCAATTACTGATAACCTGCTGAAATCTCCTAACAATGAAACCATATGGAAGATGAAAGAAAATCAGAAGTGGAAGCAGAAATATTATTTTGACAAAAGGGCCCATGATCTCCCATCTCTTAACCCAGGTGATAAAGTGTGCCTGAGGAATCACACCTCTAATACTTGTGGCAAAAGGGGTACCATTAAAGAACAGCTGCATCCAACGGCGTATGTAGTCCAGACAGACCAGGGGGACACATTTTGACGTAATCAAAGGGATCTACGAGTGATCCCAGAAAGTTCCAATACATTGACAGTAAATATGGACTTTGGCATTTCCCATCTGACTGATCCTTTATCATCAACCCACAAAGGAGAAACTGTCAAGTAACAAGAGAACAACTCAGACTCTAATGAAAGGCCAATACTGAGAAGATGAGAGCAGGAGATTGAACCTCCTGAAAGACTCATAGAGACTTGCTAACCTGCCTGGAGAAAGGGTTTTGAGAAAAGTGGGTGGCAAAGACTCACTTGAGTGATTTGCTGGTAACCTCTCTTCTCTAGGTAATTGTACTACATGGGTTGAGAATTTAATGCATGTGTCATTAGATAGTTGTTAGCTGTTTATACACACACACACACACACACACACACACACACACACACACACACACACAC